AAGGTAAATAGGTACTAGGATGTAATGTACCACGTAATGACTATAGCTAACACTTCTGTGTGATATGTAGGGAAGTTGGTTAGAAAGTAAATTCTAAGAGTTCTCATCAAAAGAGAAAATTTTTTTCCTTTTCTCTTTCTCTTTCGTTTTTATTGCATCTGCATGAGAAGGTGAATGTCAGCTAAACCTAGTGATAACTATTTCATAATATATGTAAATCGAACCATGCTGTACCCCTTAAACTTACACAGCGATGTGTGTCAATTATTTCTCAGTAAAATGGGAAAAAATTATTTGTCATTGTGGTAAGACACATAAAATTTACCATCCTAACCCTTTTTTAAGTGTACAGTTAGTAGTGCTAAGCGCATTCACATTGTAAGGCAATCAATCTCCAGTACTCTTTGTATTTTGCAGGACTAAAGCTCTACAGACCCATTGAACAACTCCCCACTCCCTCCCTCTAAAGCCATAGTCCCTGGCAATCACCATTCTATTTTCTGTCCCTCTGAAATGGACTCTAGGTACCTCAAGAAGGTAGAATCCTACGGCGATTGTCTTTTGGTGACCGGCTTATTCCACTTAGCATAACATTCATGCCTGTTGTAGCACACGTCAGAATTTCCTTCCTTTTTAAGGCTGAATAATATGCCATTGTGTGTCTATACCACGTTTTGTTTATCTATTCATCCGTCGATGGATACTTAGACTGCTTTCCGCCTCTCGGCTATTGTGAATAATGCTGCTGTGAACACGGGTATACAAATATCTCTTCAGGACCTTGCTTTCACTTCTTTTGGTATGTACTCAGACATGGAATTGCAGAATCATATGGTAGTTCTATCTTTAATTTTTTGAGCCCCACACTCCTCTTTCCCATGGCAGCCACACCACGTTCCAACCCCATCAACAGTACACAGCGTTCCAGTTTCTCCACATCCTCACCGACACTTGTTATTTTCTACAGGTATGAGATGATACCTTACTCTGGTTTTGATTTGCATTTCCCTAATAATTCGTGGCAGTGAACATCTTTGCATGGCCTGTGAGCCATTTGCATAGCTTCTTTGGAGGGTTCAACAGTGACTTTTAAAGTTAATGAAGCACTGGGACAGGACCTAAGTTTCTCCAATAGGGCCAAAGACAAGTCTTCCTGAGACTAGCCACACACAAAACATTTTAAATTAAAAAAAAAAAAAAGTCAACAAGATTTTCCATTTAGGCATCATCAGGAAACCTAATAGCTCATTTGCGTCTGTTAAGACTGAGGACAGCAACTAATTAACAAGGCCTGAAATGGGGTCTGCTATGTTACTGACCACTTCACTTTTAGTGGGCGACTCTTGTTAACCTCACCAACCCCAAAACCCGGGCTGCAGACCGGTACCAGTCGGTGGCCTGTTCAGAGGAACTGGGCCGCACAGCAGGTGAGCGATGGGCCAGCGAGTGAAGCGTCATCTGTATTTGCAGCCGCTCCCCAGCGCCAGCATCACCGCCTCAGCTCCACCTGAGATCCTCAGGCGTCAGATTCTAATAGGAGCACCTGGTGTCACAAAGGTTGGGGACCG